TTCCAAACCATGGTTCTGGCAAACCAACCCAACAGGGATGTCGGAATTCTCAACACCGATGTTGGCATTCAGAGTTCTTGGCAGTAGGTTTTTGAACATCGATGTTCAATTGTGAGCAGCAATGTTTTCAAATGAGCGTTGGGCTATTTATGACAAAATCTTTCCATTTTTGAAAGTCAATCACCCCAACATTGATGTAGACTTCTAGACATCAATGTTTTGATGACCGTTAGCCATTTTTAAAGCAAAGTCAAATCGAAAACAGCGATGTTCACTAAATGAACAGCGATGTTAGGCCAAAATTCTATAGACCAACTTTGATTATATTTCCACAAATCATGCCATTAAACCCCAATCAACTCCCATCCGTTACACATCATTTTTGGGTATGAATAGGGGTCTTTTTAGTCTACTTTTGACAACCATTCCTCACACATTTCATAGCTTTACATTACATCATTCCATAAGATTTTTACATAGCTTTTTAGAGCCATTTCTTGAGGAATTGATTGTGTTCTTTATCTAAATTAGTTTACTCATATTCTACTCTTTAAGAGAGTTTTTGTTCTTGAGTGGTTAAGTTTTGTGAACACTTCAAGGGAGGTTTGTTCCCTTGGTTGTACGAAGGAAGGGCATATTCCCTCGGGTTGAAGTCTTGGAGTATGGTATCTCCGAGCAAGTGTATTGAGGCTCGTGGGACTCGAGTTCTCAAAGTGTAACGGTTTGTTAAGCACCCGTAAGTTTAACGGAAGTAGTGTAGCTCGAGAGAGTCTCTCGGGAGGCTAGACTAGCCAGACGTTGTGGTGAACCAGGGTAAAATCGGTGTGTTCTTTCCTTACGCTTTTTATTCTGCTCTTTACTTTATCCCTGCGATTTTTATTCCACAAAAATTTATAAATATTCTTGTGCCTCACTATCTACCCCCCCCCCCCTCTAGTGAAGGGCACTTATTCTAAAAGTATCATCAACCTCCATTAATGGATTCCATTCCTTACATCATGTACGTTTACAAATTAATAATTTATGTGAAAATTAGTATGAAAGACGACAACACTATGTAGTAACGTTAGAAAAAATTAATAGTATATGAGTGTGAAGACAATTTTTTTACAAGCTCCCAAACCCATCAGTGTTGTATCTGTTCACTTTTTTGAAGACAAATTTGGGAAACTAATGAAATATCATAACATACTTTCAAATAAAAATTAAATATTTATGTAGATATTATAGAACAGAAATATATTCTCTGTCTTGATCTGTTTACAATGGCCTTCCCTTGTTTGTATAGGAAAGGAAAAGCTCCAAATCCTAATAGGAAAAGAATAACGCAAGTATGGAAGCACTAACAACTTAGGAAACAAACATAAGGTAGGAAACAATTCTTAAATCCTTGACTTGCGCCACACGTCCTGCATGGCTCCTCCATGCATAGCACCCCCCCCCCCCCTCAAGCTAAAGCATGGAGATTCTGCGTGCGCAGTTTGGACAATAAGTGAGTGAACAGAGCAGATCAAAGTGATTTGGTGAAGATATCCGGGGGTTGATCAGCCGAAGAGATGTGAGAGGTACGAAGGATGCTGCGGTGGATCTCGTCACATATAAAAATGGCAGTCAATCTCAATATGCTTCGTGCACTCATCGAAAACCGGGTTAGCAGCGATGTGTAAGACAGCCTGATTGTCACAAAATAAAGTCATAGGCGCAGGATGCTCAATGCCAAGAGATTGGAGGAGGGACTGTAGCCATTTCAGTTCACAAACCGCAGTGGCCATTGCCCGATACTCGGCCTCTTCGGAAGAACGAGACACCATCTTTTGCTTCTTTTGTACGCTAAGAAATGGGGGAATCCCCTAACTGAATAAAATAACCCAAAATAGAGCGACGGGTTAAAGGACAACTTGCCCACTCAGAGTCACAAAAGCCTATCAACTGAAGAGGACCTTTTGCAGAGAGGAAAACAACTTGCCCGGGTCGCGATTTAATATACCGCAGCACATGGATGGCGGAATCCCAATGTGCCCGACGAGGGGTGGCCATGAATTGAGATAAGATATGAACAACATAAGTAAGGTCGGGATGAGTGATTGTAAGATAGATAAGGCGACCATTCAGACGCCGATATTGTGAAGAATCAGCAAAGAGAGGGCCATCGTCTAGAGCCAAGCGGTGGTTAGCCGGAAGTGGTGTCGCCGGGGGTCGACACCCCAAGTTCCCAGTTTCAGAGAGAATGTCTAGCGCATATTTTCTTTGAGAAAGAGACATCCCATTAGAGTTACGGGCAACTTCAATGCCCAAAAAGTATTTTAAAAGCCCAAGGTGTAACACCCCAACTCGCATAACTTGTATACATGGGTTAGCGAACCGGGTTGTTACTAATCTGGTATTCAAAACACATGACATTTTCAATCAATTTAAAACATCCAAACAGCTCATAAAGTACAAGTCTGTTATCGAAGTAAAATCAAACAGTGCGGAAGCTCAACTACTGAAAACAAACATAGCTTGGGACTCATGCCTGAAAATGTATTAAGTCATTCAGAAATAAGTATAGATTCCAAATCCCCAATCAATGCCTGATTACCAGCGTGTAGCAAACAAACAACTACACGCTCAGCAATGACGCTGAGTGAGAAATTTCTAACGTCAAGTAAACAGTCAAACAAATCCAAAATTCATAGTAGTCATGTGATATTATGCAATCAACACATATGTCACACATACAGTTCAATTCACATAATTTACCTGGCATTTGCCTGTTTCTGTTCTCCTCAAACCTATGGATTCATCTTGGTTGGTGGATCACCAAGGATCTGTCCCTATAACCTATTCTAGACTGAGGACTTATACTTTACTTTTGGGAGTCATGATTGTTCCCACTGGATCAGCGGGTCATGCTCAACCAACGAAGGAGTTCTCTGTTGGGTGCGTGGAATCCCCACCTGATGGATCACCAGCCAGTTATAGGATATCCGTACGCACATTTTTACCCGGTTAACCATTGGGCCCAGCAGGCTTCACATGGCTTAGACTCTTACTTTCCTAATATACTTCAGTCAGTCCTAGGGGTTTCCTCTAGGTAGACTTACCTCAACGTGGTGTTGGATCAACACCCAATAACCTGTACTCGCGTGCTTGATCAGCCCGCTTTGTCATTATAATCAAGGTTGGATCAACTCTCAATAACACAACTCATGTAGCATTGGACCAACACATACATTAGCACATAGCAGCCTAGTGTGGGGTGTGGACACCCACACACTTACTGTCATACAAACTTACAAACCCCAATGTACATACACAATACACGAAAAGGATTTACCCGACCGAATTAGGTCTGTCAGATGGTAACGGTACCATCCTACCACCGTATGGTAGCAAGGTACCGCCGGTCGGTAGTTAGCTACCGTGACCGTCAGCCAAACCCGTCAACCAGGTAGTCCAGAAAGGCATGGGGCGGTAGCTCCATACCGTTGAACGGTTGAGAGGTACTGTTTAGCACCTTTAAAGACTACACATACATTATCAAAATGCTTGTGGCGGTAACTAGGTACCGCCTGGCGGTACCAAACTACCGTCCATCGCAGAGTTGCACTGGTTAAACCTGTTCAGATTAGAAATATGTTGTAATACCCTGATTTGAAAAATAAATGGATTGGGGAAAGAAAAGGCTCAAAAGGATTGATAGTATTATTCATACCAACAAAGTGCATCTTCTTTTTGAGAGCTCATCACCTAGAAACTCCAAAGTTAAGCGTGTTTGACCTTAAGCAATTTTAGGATGGGTGACCCCCTGGGAAATTCCTTGGGCGCGCACGAGTGAGGGCAAAGTGTGCGGGAAAGACTTGTGTTGGTTTGTGGGGCCAGTGTACAACCCTATGGACCAGTCTACAATTCCGGGGTGTTACATATGTTCTCTCAATCCTAATTCTTTCAATTCAACATTCAAAGACATAGGCAAACACGTATCCCATATCACGTAATCATGCAATATCAATCATACGCCTAATACATGCGTTCTACCCGTAGATTTCATCAAAAACCCAAGAATTTCTGAATTATCATATCATATAGATTTTCATGCAATTCAATCATCACAACGATTACGAATGTAGATTTCAAACCTAATTGCCTACTCTAATATTAGGGTTCCACGCACTCACCTCGAAACGATGAAAAATTAGATCACAACAGAAAGCTTAAACGGCGGCAAGACGGCTACGGCTGACCTGTGAATGGCGGTGTCGATGGTCTTCTTCTTCTCCTCTTTTCCTTCTCTCCTTCTCCTCGTCTTCTTCTCTTCTTCGGCACTAGGCGAGAATGGTGAGAGAGAGAGGAAGTTAAGTAATTGTGTGTGGTGTTATGCGTAGAAATACATGCACGCATAACTAGGGTAAGTTTATATAGTTTAGGGATTCATGCTCCGTAATAAACTAACGTACCTCGGGAAAAATACACGTTTCGGGCCAACTAGCTCTGAATCTAGATCTGTTTGCACCGTTGGATTCGTCTCGTCGAACCCTACACAACGGTATAACTTTTAATATTTATTGACAAATATTTTAAATAAACTCCGGGTCCGTCTCAATAATTAATTAATTATAATTAATTAATTAATTCTAATAGGCCGGGTTTCGAGGTGTTACACAAGGTCCTTCCTGTGAATACATTTAGATAGGTACTTTTTAAAATGGGAGATAAATGCATGATCATTACCAGCAATCACCAAGCCATCCACATAGATAAGTACCCGAAGTTCGACCGATCCTCTCACAATAGTAAACAGGGAATAGTCTGCCTTTGATTGAGCAAATCCATAGGAGCCCAAGGCTGTGGTGAGCTTAGAAAACCAACATGTGGGTGCCTGGCGAAGTCCATAGAGTGACTTATGTAAGCGGAAAACAAGTCCTTGGTGACGAGAGGCAAACTGTTGAAACACGGGCTTGTCACGTTTTTTGTACTAAAGCCGTGTTTGTTCTTATGACAGGTTTTGATAATGCCAAACCGCCGTGACCAAGTCAAACATTGAATATACAAGGCGAAGAACGAAGATAAGAGCAAGAGCTAAACGAAGACCAAGAACGAAGACCTTAGTCATAGTATTGAGTCGGTCTTTATTGTGATCAAGACCGACCCAATCTTTACACCTTGGCTCTTTAGGCTAAAATCTCTCATTGAATTTCTTACATCATAAAAATGTTTTTCAAACTTGTTTAAGTCATTAAAAACACTTGGTGTTCGCCCAAACCAAAAACCAAGTCATCCAGTGTTCGGCTTTCGGGAACCAGCGTTCGGCTTTCGGTTATCGGCTTTGGTTTTTGGCATCCGAACCAACCAAGTGGTTTTCAGCATTTGATGATCTGCTTTCACTCTTTGGAATGTTTAAACGGTTCTCCAACAAAAACACATTGAAAACCATCTTTCGCTTTTAGTCGTTTGACAAAAACCACGCAAAATGGCGTAAACTTGGCTAGCCGTGGTTTTTACTCAAATGACGTGGTTTTTAAAGTAACTCACTTGATTTCTTAGCCAAATACATCAAATAAGTGCTTCAAACACTTGGTTTTTATTTTGGAGAACTTTGGATTTTTCGGTCTGTTTTTGCATCGTTTGGCTAGGCCGTGGTTAAGGCAAAGACCATGGGTTTTTGGCTAACCACCCACCCAGCGATGGGAAGATCTTCCCATCGATGGGTAAGCGGTCCCTAAGCCAAACCAACTTCCAGAACCATGCCAAACAGCGATGGGAGGTTCTACCCATCGCTGTTCAAGCCCTTGTCCAACATTATCACAAGGCAGAATGCCCCTTCCCAGCGATGGGAACCTTTACCCATCGATGGGAACCCAGCGATGGGAGGGCATACCCATCGCTGGTTAGGCTTGACCGTTGTGAGTCATTTAAGGCTGATTCTTTCCGTGTTTGAAAGTCAACCTCCCACCCCAGCGATGGGAAGAATTTACCCATCGATGGGTAGGTGACCGTTGGCTTCAAAACTGAAGGAAAATTGGCTTACCAGCGATGGGTAAGTTCCAAACATCGATGGGAAGCCAATATCCTGCAGATCCCAAATTTATTCAATCCCATAAATCAAGCCAATCACCCCTTTAATGCATTAGTCCATTGGAGCCTTTTTTGGCACTATAAAAAGGGGTGTTTGGGTCTACTTTTCTCATCAATTCACTTCACAATATTCATATTATCATTGCATTCAAACAACATCATTTTCCATAGCTTTTAGAGTCAATTCGTGTGAATTTTGAGTTGTTCTTGAGCGTATATATTTTACTCAATATCCACTCTTAAGGAGAGTCTTGTTCTTGAGTGTTCTTAGTGTTGTATACACATTAAGGGAAGCTTGTTTCCCTTGGTTGTACGAAGGAAAGGTATTTTCCTTCGGGTTGAAGTCTTGGAGTGCGGTATCTCCGAGCAAGTGTTGTTGAGGCTCGTGGGACTCGAGTTCTCAGGTTGTAACGTTTGTTAAGCACCCGTAAGCTTAACGGAAGTAGTGTAGCTCGAGAGAGTCTCTCGGGAGACTGGATTAGCCACACGTTGTGGTGAACCAGTATAAATCTTGGTGTGCTCCCTTTACGCTTTCTACGCTCTTTACTTTTCACGTTCTTAATTTTTTATTCCTGTGATTCCTACGATCAAACGCTATTCACCCCCCCCCCCCTCTAGCGTTGGTCACTTATTCTAACAATTGGTATCAGAGCCTAACTCGCGTCCAAACTTAACCGTTTGAGAGTAAAGCGATCATGGGTTCTTCTTCTAGAAATTTGTATGCAGGAATAGGTGAAGGGCAATCAACCACATGGCCACCTCTTTTTGATGGAACCAATTATGCATATTGGAAAGAACGAATGAGAATCTATATTCGTTCCACAAACTTCCAATTATGGTTGGTTATCAAAAATGGGGAAGAGGTGCCGATGAAGAAAGTTGGCGACAAGTTGATCCCCAAGACCGAAGACGAGTTTGATGCCGAGGACATCAAAAAGGTCGAGAATTATGCAAAGGCAATAAACATGCTTTATTGTGCCGTAAATCCTGATGACTACCGCAAGATCTCCTGCTGCTCAACCGCCAAGGAGATGTGGGATAAGCTCGAGGTGACGTACGAAGGAACGGACCAAGTACGTGAAGCCAAGATCGACTTCCTCACCCAAGAGTATGAGATGTTCAGGATGAAGGAGCACGAGAAGATTGACGACATGTTCGACCGTTTTTCCAAAATAGTCAACGATCTTCATGCATTAAAGAAGACTTACACCGACAGGGATCTTGTGCGAAAGATCCTACGGAGCTTGACATCCGAATGCCGATCCAAGGCCGATGCCATCTATGAATTAATCGGCACATCAAATGTCACCATTGACGGTCTAAGAGGTAATCTAAAAACTTATGAATCTACTATTCTTAACCCGTCTTTGAATGACCAAAGGAAAGGGATAGCATTAAAAGCCATCAAAGAATCAACAATGAATGATTCAAGCGACGATGATGAATTCAAGCTTGTCATGAAGAAGTTTTGCAAACTTCTAAAGAAGAAAGAAAAGGTTGAGGATAGCCCTGTGTTCTATGGATGTGGTGAAGCCGGGCACATCAAGAACAAATGCCCGAAAAGCGGAAGGAATGCTCGGCACTTCAAAAGGCAAAGGGCATATATCTCTTGGGGTGGAGACTCCGGCGATGAATCAAGCGAACAAGAGGAAGAAGAGGAAGCAAATCTTTGTCTCATAGCTCAAGAAGAAGAGGAGTCCGCCAACAACGAAAACCAAGAGGTACGTATTTCTTCTACCGGTTCTTATTCTCTTGAAGAAATGCAAGAAGCTCTCCAAGAGCTTTATGACGAGTTTGTTAGCGCTTCTAAAACCAACAAAGCTTTAAAGAAACGTTTTTCTAATCTTGAAATTGAGTTTGAAAAACTTCAAAAGGAAAACGAAAAACTAAAAGAGGAAAATAAATTTTATGGTAAAAGAAGCGCCGACAAACCCGAGAGCTCTACAAAACATTGTGACTCTTGCATAGCTTTGAAAGAACAAGTTGTTGAATTAGAAAACACGGTGAAGAAATTTAATAAACCACATAAAGATCTTAATCTCGTTTTTGATTCTATGCAATACACTAAACAAGGAATAGGTTTTAGGAAGATTGATGAACCTAGAAATAAAGAAAAAGTTGAGCACAACCGTAAACCACCTAGAACTCAACCTAAGAAAGATAAAAATAAAATTAATAGACAACCTAGACTAAAACCTAGGAATGAAAATGTTCATGGTAGACAACCTAAGAAAAATAATTTTGTGCATAATAATAATCTTTCTCAAAATAGGAGAAATAACATGAGGACACCTAGAAATGATTCTTTTGAAAACGTGCATAAACTATCCTTTTCTCAAAATAAAATGAATATGGTTAGACCCCCTAGCTATTATCAACCTAGGCATATGTTCAACCCAAACATAGTATGCCATTATTGCAATAGGGTAGGACATATAGCTCCCGTGTGTTTTACTAGACATAGGCTTCTCACCTATAATGAAACACACAACATATTTGGTGCTAACGAAAAGAAATCCTTTAGAAAAGGACATTCGTATCATAAACAATCTCCACAGAATAATGCACAAAAGAAACCGTATTATTTCTTCTACTTTGACGAAAAGAAGAAAGTCCACATTCCGTTACCGGAACCAACACAAATCACACCGAGATATCGGCACTCCGTTCAGGTAGACTGGAACCTGCCAACCACGAGATCATGGGTTGGCCAAGGTAACTCCTAAACGATCATCTAATCGTGTGTGTGTGTGTGTAAGGAAACGAGTTTTGGGTGTGTGCGTGGGCAATAAAGGTTAACTAACCCCCAAGGACCCATAGACATACTTTGGGTACCAAAGTGTTATTTTTTGCAGGGACGGTTCGAAGTGAAGAATTCTGGAAATCAGGGGGAACCAGTGATGGGTGGGTTATACCATCGCTGGGAGGGAAGTCTTCATTTTCCAGAACCCCTCTTCCCATCGATGGGTGCTTCTTCCCATCGATGGGTAATTGACTCTTTTTTTAAAATCTTTTAAACGTTTTTTTTTTCAGAAACACCTTACCCATCGATGGGTATCTCACCCCATCGCTGGGTGAAGGACTTTTGTCAAAAATAATTTTTTTTCCAGAACCTCCCTACCCATCGATGGGAACCCACTCCCATCGCTGGGTGTTTGACACTAGCTTTTTTTTTAAAATTTTTTATCGGATTCCCAAAATCACCAACCCAGCGATGGGATGGTATTAACATCGCTGGGAAGGCTTTCGTCTTTTAACCTTCACTTTCCAGAATCCACCTTCCCATCGATGGGAGAATCCTCACATCGCTGGGAAGGCAGTTTGATTTTCTCCATCGCTTTCCAGTAGCGACCTTCCCATCGATGGGTAGATCCTACCATCGCTGGGAAGGCGGTTGCAGTTCAAATTTTCAGAACCGTTGGAGACAGTATTTATGGCCCAACAGCTATATTTTTTGAATCCAAACGGCCAAACCCTCTTGTTCCTATATATATCCACCATATTTGTTCATTCTAATACACCATTAACATTATAATTTCATTCCTTGATCCAAATCTCAATATCTCGTCTCCTTTTTTTTCCAAAAACGCCACAACTATGGCTGGAGGAAGATCAAAGTCAAAGGCATCTAAGAAGAAAGGCCCTACCGAGGCCACAACCTCTGCGCCTCAACCCTTTCCGTACCTGGATGGATCCTTCCTCGAATTTGGCTCGGAGGAAGAACTTACTCGCTTCATCACTCACTTCGCCAAACGCCCCATCTCTCCGCCAAGGGTGCTGCCCGAGTTGTTCCCTCAGCAGAAGGGATACCACGATCTCGACAACCAACTCAAAGAGTCGGGTTTGTGGCCCTTCGTCTCAAAGAGCCGCACCTCCTTCAATCCCGCCTATGTCCGGGCCTTCTACTCCTATCTCCGCCGGGACGGGGACACCATCCGCAGCAGCATCAATCTCTACGACATAGAGATTGATTTGGCCACTTTTGCTCGGGTTGCAGAGCTGCCTACCAGCGGTGACGACGTAGCGTCGTATGGTGGCGAGGACTGGATCCTCAACAACGAGGTCGTCGTCATCCGTGAGCTCGGGATCACCAACTTGATCCGTCACAGCGGCGCACCGACGATTCACTCGGCTCCACCGGAGAAGCGCCTCCTCCTCTACATCCTCACCCGGATTCTCCGCCCCTGGGATAGCAGCCACACCTCACTCTTCAACGACGACTTGAGGGCAATTCATGCGATCATGCACGGCGCCTCCATCAATTGGGCAAAATACGTCATGATTCACATGGCGGATTGCGCCTCCATTACCACCGAGCGGAGCTTTCCATACGCCTTCCTCGTCATGGACCTCATCGTCTCCGCCGACATCCACATCGCCGGGCCAAGCACGAAAATGACGAAGCTTTGGGTCATCGCCGACAACACCTTCAAGAAGAATTCCGGAAACCGCAATGGCGCCGGAACGAGTCGTGCCCATGCCCCTGCACCTGCCCCCGCTCCCGCTCCCGCTCGGGCCTCATTACAGTCAATAGCCAACACCCTGAATCGGCTAACCCTCACAGTGGACGGCATGGGGCAGTACATGGAGAGGATGGACTGGACGCTGCAACGCCAACACCACGACATGAGGGTGTTCTTCCGTGGCATCAACTACGTCCCGCCGCCCTTTGACAGCACCTTCCTCGGCCAAAACTATGAAGGCGAGGATGAGGACGACGACTCCTATGCTCAGTCCTCCTCCCCCGACGAGGCCGACTTTGAGGACGCGGTCGACGGGGATCCCATGGACGTCGAGGACGACGAGGATAACGATGACGACGAGGACGCCGATGCCTAGACTCTTCCTTTCTTTCCTTTCCTCACTATGATTGTTTTTTTTTGTTATTTCCATTCCGTTGTATTCCGCATTTCCCTTTCTTTTAATGAATAAAAGTTTACTTTTAAATTCTAAAGTTTACTTTTAATTCTTTTTGTTAATATCAAAAGGGGAAGATATTAAGGTTATGCATAAATTGAGGGGGAATTTTTTTTACTTTGTTAAAAATAAAATGGCATCTATTAAGGGGAAACATTTTTTTAATTCTCAAAATATTCCTCCTATGCATAACCTCATCTCGTTTGCCATTATCAAAAAGGGGGAAATTGTTGAAACACGGGCTTGTCACGTTTTTCGTACTAAAGCCGTGTTTGTTCTTATGACAGGTTTTGATAATGCCAAACCGCCGTGACCAAGTCGAACATTGAATATACAAGGCGAAGAACGAAGATAAGAGCAAGAGCTAAACGAAGACCAAGAACGAAGACCTTAGTCATAGTATTGAGTCGGTCTTTATTGTGATCAAGACCGACCCAATCTTTACACCTTGGCTCTTTAGGCTAAAATCTCTCATTGCATTTCTTACATCATAAAAATGTTTTTCAAACTTGTTTAAGTCATTAAAAACACTTGGTGTTCGCCCAAACCAAAAACCAAGCCTTCCAGTGTTCGGCTTTCAGGAACCAGCGTTCGGCTTTCGGTTATCGGCTTTGGTTTTTGGCATCCGAACCAACCAAGTGGTTTTCAGCATTTGATGATCTGCTTTCACTCTTTGGAATGTTTAGACGGTTCTCCAACAAAAACACATTGAAAACCATCTTTCGCTTTTAGTCGTTTGACAAAAACCATGCAAAACGGCGTAAACTTGGCTAGCCGTGGTTTTTACTCAAATGACGTGGTTTTTAAAGTAACTCACTTAATTTCTTAGCCAAATACATCAAATAAGTTCTTCAAACACTTGGTTTTTATTTTGGAGAACTTTGGATTTTTCGGTCGGTTTTTGCATCGGTTGGCTAGGCCGTGGTTAAGGCAAAGACCATGGGTTTTTGGCTAACCACCCACCCAGCGATGGGAAGATCTTCCCATTGATGGGTAAGCGGTCCCTAAGCCAAACCAACTTCCAGAACCATGCCAAACAGCGATGGGAGGTTCTACCCATCGCTGTTCAAGCCCTTGTCCAACATTATCACAAGGCAGAATGCCCCTTCCCAGCGATGGGAACCTTTACCCATCGATGGGAACCCAGCGATGGGAGGGCATACCCATCGCTGGTTAGGCTTGACCGTTGTGAGTCATTTAAGGCTGATTCTTTCCGTGTTTGAAAGTCAACCTCCCACCCCAGCGATGGGAAGAATTTACCCATCGATGGGTAGGTGACCGTTGGCTTCAAAACTGAAGGAAAATTGGCTTACCAGCGATGGGTAAGTTCCAAACATCGATGGGAAGCCAATATCCTGCAGATCCCAAACTTATTCAATCCCATAAATCAATCCAATCACCCCTTTAATGCATTGGTCCGTTGGAGCCTTTTTTGGCACTATAAAAAGGGGTGTTTGGGTCTGCTTTTCTCATCAATTCACTTCACAATATTCATATTATCATTGCATTCAAACAACATCATTTTCCATAGCTTTTAGAGCCAATTCGTGTGAAGTTTAAGTTATTCTTGAGTGTATATATTTTACTCAATATCCACTCTTAAGGAGAGTCTTGTTCTTGAGTGTTCTTAGTGTTGTATACACATTAAGGGAAGCTTGTTTCCCTTGGTTGTACGACGGAAAGTTATTTTCCTTCGGGTTGAAGTCTTGGAGTGCGGTATCTCCGAGCAAGTGTTGTTGAGGCTCGAGGGACTCGAGTTCTCAGGTTGTAACGGTTTGTTAAGCACCCGTAAGCTTAACGGAAGTAGTGTAGCTCGAGAGAGTCTCTCGGGAGACTGGATTAGCCACACGTTGTGGTGAACCAGTATAAATCTTGGTGTGCTCCCTTTACGCTTTCTACGCTCTTTACTTTTCACGTTCTTAATTTTTTATTCCTGCGATTCCTACGATCAAACGCTATTCACCCCCCCTCTAGCGTTGGTCACTTATTCTAACACAAACTTGGGAGGGAGCCTCATCTAGACTTCATCCTTGAGATCTCCATGAAGGAACGCGTTATGGACATCCATTTGATGGAGACTCCACCCGTGGACAACTGCAACGGCCAAAAGTGCACGAAGGGTAATGAGCTTGGCCATGGGAGCGAAATTTTCCTTATAGTCAATTCCCTCCTTCTGTCGGTTGCCCAAAATCTCAAGACAAGCTTTATACCGTTCAATGCTCCCATCAGACCTATGTTTGATTTTGTATACCCACTTCAAACCAATAGCCTTTTTATTTTTCAGAAGAGGAACTAAAGACCAAGTTCCATTAGCTTGCAAGGCGTCGAGTTCATCTTTCATTGTCGTCCTCCAGTGTGAATGTTTGACCTTTTTAGAGAACTGAGTAGGTTCCTCATCTGCACTAATTGCTTCCAAAAAACTTTTATGGGAACAAGAGAAGTTATCACAACTAACAAACTTGGTTATACAATGAGCAGTACATGATGACGGGAGTGAAACGGAGGTGCAAACCGGCGTACTATGAATGGTGTGCATGACAAAGTCTTGCAAATGTGATGAAGGACGACGAGGTCGTATAGTGCGGCACTGGCCAATAATATCCTTATCCTGCGAAGTGTCTGACGTGGGTGAAGTTTCGATTTCAGGTGGGGGCTGTGCAAGAATAGGTGGAGATTGTTCGGGTATAGCGAGTTCGGTGGGGAGTTGTTCGGGTTTGGGGAACTCGGGTGAAGGATTTTCTATTGTGGGAATTTGTGCACGCATTGGTTCGGGTAGAGTAGGCGTGAGGGGGAGTTCATCATCATTGAAAAAAGCATCTGATGTCGAGGACGAGGATGGATGGGATGGGATTTCGGGAGTGGTGACAAAAGGAAAGGACGTTTCAAGAAACTTGACGTCTCGACTAACGAAGATTTTGTGTGTTTCCAAGTCTTGCAATCACCATCCCTTTTGGCCGAAGGGATATCTAAGGAAGAGACAGCGACGCGATTGTCTGGTGAATTTGTCACCATCGTGGTTTTGGTTATGAGCATACGCGAGACATCCAAAAGTACGAATGTGTGTGTAGGAGGGTTTTTGTCAAAAAAGAAGTTCATATGGTGTTTTCCTTAGAAAAGTGGTGTTGGGGTTCGGTTTATGAGATAAGCTGCAGTAAGAATGGAGTCACCCCAATAGGAGATAGGGAGATTGGCCTGGAAACGGAGTGCACGGGCAATGTTAAGGATGTGTGTATGTTTTCATTCGACTATCCCATTTTTTTGGGGATTGCCAACGCAAGAAGATTTGAAGATTATCCAAGCGGAAGCAAAGATTTCATGCATGTGAACTCCGTCCCATTGTCACTATGAATTCTTTTGATGTTTCCATCAAATTGATGTTGGACAAGAGAAAAGAAATTTTGGAGAACACCAGATGTTTCATCTTTGTTGTTTAGAAGATACACCCAGGTTGCACGAGAGAAATCATCCACAATGGTTAAGAAAAATTTAGCCCCCGTACGAGAAGGAGTCCTATAGCCCACCCCCCCCCACCACAAATCACAGTGAATCAAAGAAAAGAGAATATTTGATTTATTTGAACTAGTAGGGAAAGAGTCACGACATTGTTTAGCACGAAAACATACATCACAAGGTAAAGAGGAAATTGGACATGGGGTAGAAAGAAAAGGTAAAAACGACAGATCTCAGGGGATGGATGACCCAGGCGTTTGTTCCAAACAGCAAAGTTCTTCGTCTCTCGCACCACATAATCTTTGTCATGCACCCCTTGTTGAAAATAAAACAGGCCGCCAATTTTTTCACCCGTTCCAATCAACGTCTTCGAGATACAGTCCTCGATAACACAAGATTTGTTAGTAAACTGGATAAGTAATCTTTTATCACCAAGAAGTTGAGAGACAGAAATCAAATTGAAGTTGAGTTTAGGCACAAATAAAACATCTGTTACTTTCAATAAATCGTTCAACAGCACATCTCCTTTACTTTTGGCGTCACCACTTTCACCATTGGCAAGACCCACTCTACATCCATTTACGGGCTGCATGTTCATCAACTAGTTCTTTTCTCTTGTCATGTGTTGGCTAGCGCCACTGTCAATCATTTCAGAACAAATTTTTGTACCTGAAAATTGATGTTCAAATTGCACATTTGTCTGGCCGGCAAAGGCTGCTGCCTCAACTGTCTTCTCCCCAGTACGGTTGCCTCGTCTAGCAGATCTACCTCCTGCCGCCGGGTCTACTGCCACCACCGCGGGCTCTTCCGCGACTGCTGCCTTGGATACGTGGTCGGTTCGCCCACCACTCGAGATATCCTATGATTTGGAAACACCCACTGATTTCATGTCCGGTCTGACCGCAGTATTTGCACTTCAGGTTTTTGTCACGCGTGGGTCTTCCCGATGTAACTATGAAGCTCACCGGGTTTCGTTCTTCCTCCATCGTCATCTCTAACACCCCCTCTTACTGTGTTATTATAGAATAAACGCGATTGATTGAAGCAAGAGGCTCGATGCTTTGAATATTGATATGGAGGCTGCCATAGCCTTCATTGTCAAGTCCCATAAAAAAGTAATGGACCTTTTCTTCGTCACGTTGTTTCTCTAACCGGGCCGTCAATCCGCACTTGCATCCTCCACACTTGCACGCCGACACCTTCAACAGTTCATAAAGTTCGTCCCATATGGCCTTCAATTTGCCATAGTGCTTCACGATCTCTTGACCATTTTGTTTGCAATTGGCCAATTCCTTCTTCAGCTAATGAATTCGTGGACCGTTTGCTACGGAAAATTTGGTTTTAATATCGTTCCATAAGTCGGCCGCGGTCTCTACCTAAGTGATGGAGTTGCACAGGTCTGCTTTTATTGTGTTCCATGATACGAGCATCGCATTCACTATCCACCATTCTTCTGTCTCTAAATTGTCTTCTGGAAATGGGATGGACCCATCAATGAATCCGTACTTTTGTTTGGCGCGAAGAGCCATTCTCATAGCTCCTGCCCATTCCTCGTAATTTCTTCCATTAAGTTTTACCTGTGTAATCAACAGGCCTGGCGTATCTACCGATTTTAGATCGTATGGACTTACCTTCATAATACTTTGATCTTCGTTGTTGGCGACAACAATCTTCTTGGTCGGAGTTTCCTTGGTTTTGGGGGTCGGCTCTGCCATCTTTTAGCTTCGCCGATCGACGAGGAAGGAGTCTCATCGGAAGGAGTTCGCCGGAGGAAGCTTCTCCGATCATAGGGTTTGTTTATGAGGTCCAAGGTATCTTGCTCCGGTACCATGTAATAATTATAGAAGAGAAATACTTGGTCCGTTCCTGAGTGTTTGTCCACTTTTGACTTTTGGAACTGTTCATCTAAGCACTTTGACTCATCAAATTCTCTCAATGTGTAAGCCTAAAAATAGTCATGTGTGATCTTGTTTGATTCGTCTTAACATATAGATTATTAATATATAATTTTTATAATTTTTAAATATACAAATTACAAGATAAAATGGATTAAAGAAGTGCATTGGATGGTGTGTAAAAATGAAAGTGGACAAACACTCAGGGACAGAGGGAGTATATTATTTGTCTTGATCTGTTTACAATGGCCTTCACTTATTTATATAGGGAAGGAAAAGCTCCAAATCCTAATAGGAAAAGAATAACACAAAGTATGGAAACACTAACAACTTAAGAAACAAACATAAGGTAGGAAACAATTCCTAAATCCTGGACTTGCGCCACACGTCCGCTCCTCCATGCGTAACAATTTAGAGTAATCAAAATACTTCAATGGGATAAAACCTAAATTAAAAAAACGGAAGTGTGTCTATCATAGAAAACAACACGACAAATCGCGTTACATTCGATTGTTTAACTTAAACATTGGAACAATGCAGCGGTTTTACACGAAACATCGCGTATCACTATACTGAAAGTACTTGATTGAATTAAAATTCATGAATTGTAATTCTTACCCAAAAGTGTTAGTTAGGTATTATTAATGAGAATAAGGAAAAAAGGAAAAAAGAGAAGCGGCAGGTTCCTGGGAAGAAAACGGAAAAAAGAAAAGAAAATAAAAGAAAGGAAAGCATAATGGGAAGAAGAAAGAAAGGAGAGGTGGCGGCGGAGGTTCTTGGGAGGAAAAAGGAAAAAAAAGAAAAGAAGAAGAAAAAAGAAAAAAAGGAAAACATAATCTTCATGGATTATAAACAATCTTCCATAATCTTATAAAATCATATTCATAAAATACATTAAAATCTATCTAACTCCGCGTAGATTTAAAATAATCCATTGATTTTAGAGAGTTCATGAATTTTAAACAATCTATCATAATCTTTTAAAATCTAGATTGAATACACCCCCCTTAAGTTACGTTCATATACACCCTCCGACTCTAAAATTTTGTCACAGTTTGATATTTTAACTTGTATCAAATTGTGGCACTCTTTGATCACGAACTATGGAAAAAGTGTATTTAGTTGTAATGTAAATTAAGTAAAATTGGGGGTTCTTTTTAAAATATAGTTTTGAAATATCAAATTTTTATAATATTTAATTATTTTAAACTATATTTAATTCGTGGTCAAATGGTGTCATTGTTTGACCAAAAAAGTCAAACTGTGGAATTTTTAGGAACGGATATGATTTAGGTTGCCTGTGAAAATTTAACATCTACTCTCTTGGTCTTTAATTAATCTGGACAGTTTGACTTCAAATTAAGAATATAAGAAATCGCCCAAATTATGAACAAAGCATAACTCTTATTTCCAAAATAGAAATCACCCTAAATAGGACTAAAACATAGAGAAAAGTACCAAAATAAGACTCTCATGTTTTTTTCCCGAAATAGGACTTTGCACTATGGTAATGTGACTTTGCACTGTGGTAATGTGAAAGTGTACATGTGCACATTACTATACTTTTTTGGTAATGTATATGACCATGTTTGGTAATGTAAGTCCTATTTCGGGAATAAAAACATGGAAGTCCTATTTTGGTATATTTTCAATGTTTTAGTTCTACTTTGGTCTTTCTCCCTTCCAAAATAGAAATCACCCTAAATAGGACTAAAACATAGAGAAAAGTACCAAAATAAGACTCTCATGTTTTTTCCCGAAATAGGACTTTGCACTATGGTAATGTGACTTTGCACTGTGGTAATGTGAAAGTGTACATGTGCACATTACTATACTTTTTTGGTAATGTATATGACCATGTTTGGTAATGTAAGTCCTATTTCGGGAATAAAAACATGGAAGTCCTATTTTGGTATATTTTCAATGTTTTAGTTCTACTTTGGTCTTTCTTCCTTTCCAAAATAGGAATATTGTATTGTGTCAATATGACAGCACTGTACTGTGTATATTAGCACTATATTCTACAATACTTTTTAGTATTATATGTTTTCATTATTGACATTTTAGAAGTTATTTTAAAGATAAATACGTGAAAGTCTTATTTTGATCTTTTTCTTGTGTTTTATTTCTATTTTAGAAGAAAACATTAAACCACATACTCCCTCCGTCCCAAAAAGTCCGACACGTTTCGAAAAAACTGTATCCCGTAAAGTCCGTTACATTTCTATTAAAAAACCACTTTTACCCCTTACTTTTTCATACCCTACCTATCACATCATACCTTTTTCCTAATAATCAACCCATCACATCCTACTTTTACCCATCACATCAAGGCTATTTTTGGAAAGTCAACACCGAAATATCCCTCTCTTAATTTCCCAAAAAGTCAATATGTATCAATCTTTTTGGGACGGAGGGAGTACTTTTTTACTTTTTTGGGAAAATAAAAAAGTGAAAATTAAATGGTTGTAATTAAATAATTATAAAAGTGAAATTTGTAGTAAATATGACAAAAAATAAAAGTCATTTTCCAATGTAAGACTTAAACTTTTTTATTCCCTAAATAATATTTAATAATATCTAGTGGGAGGAATAATGTCTAGTGATAGTGGACATTTACTTGAATAATGACTACTCCCTCCGTCCCAATTTATAGTGCATGTTCACTATTCATAGAGTCAAACTCCATTCACTTTTTTTCTCTATTTTCGTTAGCAATTTGATAAAATAAAGTACTATTGTCACTACTAGTTTTGTAGATCTTTTGATGTAGTTTTTTAATATGTAATTTTTATTTTATAACTCTATACCATTTGTCATAAAAATGATTTGAAAATAATTTCAGTCAAACATCGTAAACCGAAACATGCACTATAAAATGGGACGGAGGGAGTAATAGATAATGACCAATGGTCCTTTATTGGGAAACAAGAGCATATGATCCTATATTGAGAAAATTATTATGTTTTAGTTCTATTTGGGTAAATTCCTCTAATTAAAAAAAGACAAGTGTCTCAATTAATTGAAGACAAAGCGAGTAGTTTTTTTTTTGCTCTTTAATATTATCTGGGAATATCTCAGTTGATCTACAAGTACTATTTGTACATCAATTAAATTCTAAAGATGAAGATCTCATGGACAAATTATTCGATAACATTTATGATGGAGTCTTGTCAAGCGAGCAACTTCCAAGCTTAAGAAGAGGTCTCATATCATTTACGGAGTATTATGCTGCGTTTGACTTACTTTCAACTGGATACCAGCAGCAGCATGATGAAACATTGAAACAGAAGTTGCTGGCATTTCAGCTACCTGCAGTAAGATTACATTACGACGTAGATTAAATTTCTAGTTTTTAATTATTCATAATGATTTTGTTCTCTTGATATAACGAGATGCACAAAAAGATACACAAAATTATGTATTTTGTGATTCTTGTGTTTCTGACCCGAACATTTCTCGTGCCCTATATTTACAATTCCAGTGCACTAAACTGGGTCATTAAGAACATCTTTATTGGTTCGGAATATTTAAGTAATGGTGATGTATGTGGAATAGAGAAAAGTGCAAGGAATGGGTAGGATAAGAGTCATGCTTAAATGGTCTCAAAGTCTACATTTAAAATGTAGAACTTCTCATATTTTTCATAGTCTTGCATATGAATATTTTTTTTTTTTGAAAATGCTCATTTCTTTTATACTACAAATGGACTAATGTTCATATAATGACCATGGACTTTAGTTCCACAGAAAAATTTGCCGTATGGTAAAGGGAGGAAAAGAAGAGAGAGAAGGGGTGGGGGATATGATAGAAGATGTGCCACGGAAAAGAGAGAAAAGGAAGAAAAAAGAAAGAAGGGAAGAAAGAAAAAAGTGGAGTACATGTTAACGGATCTTAAATGGATCGGTTGTGGCATTACCAAATATGTACTCCCTCCGTCCCTAAATAAAGTTCCTCTTTCGTTTTTTCTTTGTCCCTAAATAAACTTTTCTTTTCCCTTAAAAAACCCCTTTTACCCCTTGCTTTTTCATACCCTACCTATCACATCATACCTTTTTACTAATAATTTACCTATCACATCTTACTTTTACACATCACATCAAGGGTATTTTTGGAAAGTCAACACAAAAATATCCCTCCCTTAAATCCTCAAAAAGTCAAAAATGGAACTTTATTTAGGAACGGAGGGAGTATTTGTTTAGTTTAATCAGGTATCGAATTCGGGTACAATTCAAGACGGATGCTTAAAATCAAAATGATATTTGATTAACTAGATATCTTATTTGGTAATATTTTTGGGAAAGGATCAAATTAAACTAGAAGTAAAACATAGAGAAAGTATTAAAATAAGAGTTACAATGCCAATAATGTCAGTATATAATATCAAAAAATATAGTGAGAGTCACTATACAGTGTCATAATGTCACTGCACTCTTATTTTGTGGAATGCGAGCACCGCCCCATCATTGAAACCTTGCTAACTCTCTTACAAGGAAGGAAGGAAAGGAAAAAAGCAAGAAAGAAAGGAAGCAACGAAGGAAGGAAGCAGGGCAGGAAGGAAGGAAGGTAGCAAGAGAAAAAGAGAGCAAGGGGGCAAGAGAGAAAGAGAGAAAGAGGGAAAGAGATCAAGAGTGAAGGAGAGCAAGAGAGAAAGACCGGTTGAGTAAGTAACCTCATTTATTACAAATCAGATGAGACCATTTGTTGTAAAGGTTAGCTAAACTTTAAATCCGAGAGATTATCATATTGCATTACCTGTATCCATTATCTCAGATCAGGATTGGTGATTCACCTCTCAGTTCTGGAAGAGTCTACAAAAAGCTCTTGGCTCAGCTCCAAGCTCAATTTAATTCCAGCAACGCATTTCATCCTCAGACCAACAGTTAATATAAGAGAATAATCCAGATTTTGGAAGACATGATGAGAGTTTGTGTTATCAACTTTGGAGACAGTTGGGAGTGATATCTACCACTAATGGGCATGACCTCGTCCATGAAATGGAATAGAAGGTTGTTTAATCTGAGATAGGCTACATCTTCTTCAGATCGTCATAAGTCCTATTTCGACTTTTTTAAGCGTTGAGAGATGGAGTATAATGTTGAGGATCTTGTGTTTTTGAAAGTCTACATTGGAAGAAGGTTTTAAAATTTTGTAAAAAGGGTAAGCTGAGCTCCAGATTTATTGGCCCCTATCGAGTCACTAATGTTAGAACTCATGGGGAAATCATTAATATATTCGTTGGTGTTTTAGCATGATTTTCAAGTGTAGGTTTTGATGGATGACAAACAATGAAGTCAAGATGTAGTGGTTAACAAAAAATGAAGGAAATTATGTCGTGATAACAAAGAGTGTGTGCTTAAAATGAATCCTTAGCCAAGGATATGAAGTCACTTTAAGAAATGCTCGAGAGTTCAAGATCAAAGACCCCAAAACGTAAGTCTGATCTTTAGGTATAACTTAATTTAAGAGCAACGTTTAAGTTATCTTGGCTTTTGGCTCAACATAAGTCATTTTTCATATGCAAAAAAACCATGATCTTCATTCTTCCATCTTGCCCAACAAAATCATAACCATCGGTTATTGGCATCTAGCTATCGTTATTCGATTTTTCGGCATTGGTTATTGGCATTCATTTTAGCCAAATGGTTTTTGAGTTTTTATCTTTTGTTTTTACTTCTAAACACATTTAAAGGTTTTCCAAACTTAGAATTTTCAAAAAACCATAACCTTCAGTTTTCGGTGTTGGTTATCGGTGTTCAGTATTCGTTTTCGGCGTTGGTTATTGGTACTTGTTTTAGCCAAATGGTTTTTAAGCTTTAATCATTTACTTTCTCTTCTAGGAACATTTAAATGTTTTCTAAGTGCTTATTTTTTGAAAACCATAACCTTTGTTTTTTGACATTGGTTATCGGCCTTCGGCGTTCATTTTTGACGTTTAAATCAACCAAGTATTTTTCAAAGTTTTATGATTTTTTTACCTCTCAGAATATTTAAATGGTTTTCTGATAAAAACATTCTAAAAACCACCTTTGGTTTTTAGTTTGTTTTTTTCAAAAAGCATGAAAATCATATTTAACTTGGTGATCTGTGGTTTTCACCTTAACGATGTGGTTTTTAAGTTTTTACACTTGATTTCTACATCAAATAAGTATTTCCAAGACTTGGTTTTTGATTTGGGAAACTTTAATTTTTGACATCGGTTTTTAGCATTGGCTGCCAAACCATGGTTCTGGCGTCCAACCCGAAGAGCGATGTTGGGTGTAAACCCAACATCGCTGTTTTGCCCATGGCAGTAGGTTTCATAACATCGATGTTGCACTTTGAACATCTTTTTTTCCAGGTTTGCTCATGTCAATTTTTGGCCGTAGGTTTTTGAACAACGATGTTCAATGTTGAAATCGATGTTTTCAACTAGCCTTTGGGGCCTTTAAGACAAAATCTTTCGGTTTTTGAAATTCAACAACCCAAACATCGATGTAACTTTAAAATATCGATGTTCTCGTGACCGTTACACATTTCAAAGGAAAGTCAAACCTCAAAGCAACGATGTTCATGGCAAAACATCAATGTTCGGAGCATTTTCCTATAGTTCACTTTTTTGAATTCTCCAAATCTTTATATAATCTATTTTGGATTGTGTTCCAATGTTCACCCATCTTTAATCCCTATAGATAGAGCCCTTTGGTTGTGTTTTTAGATGAACAACTCCTCTCATTCTTTATCAATTCATTCATATCATTTGTGCATAACATTTATCGCTTTTGTTGAGGCAATTGAGAGAAAAACTTGTGTTGTTCATAGAGCTTGTTGGGTAACGCTGCTTAAATAACGTAGCAGGAAAAAAAATTGTATATAAACGTTGTTACCACCCAAGATCCTCCTACAAATATTATAAATCATTGTAAAGAAGAACACTTTTCTCGTAGAACACATATTGGACAGTGTGGATAGAGGGATTCGTGCAACGAACGTAGCCACAAAATTATCTAACCTCTAGCGTGTCCACACAAACAACAAACGATGTTTTAAGAGGATTTATGCTAGTAAATTCTTCCTAGAATTTTCCAAGAATATAAAATGTTATTAAGAATAATATTAGAAATATTTTCTGTTCATTTTGTGAAGAGATCGATGCAGGAGAGGGAGAGAACGCAGGTATTGCATTAATCACAGTTGAAGTGGAGACCAAGTCTCATATTTATAAAGGAACCTAATCTCTTAGTAGAATCCAGTAACTAGTTGTAGAGTTGGAAACAAAATCAAACACTTTCTTTATTACTCCCTCAAAATATCGGCCCTATTATAATAAAAAATTCCAATTTATTTTGTCAACTTTAATTATCATATAATTAAAACAAAATAAATAATATATTTATTTTAAATACTAGTTGATAATATATATATATATATATGTATATGTATATATATATGTATATATATATATATGTATGTATGTATGTATGTATGTATGTATGTATGTATGTATGTATGTATGTATGTATGTATGTATGTATGTATGTATGTATGTATATATATATATAATTGTGTGAAATATATATACTTTATATTTTGTTATTATTTTGACAAACATAATTATCATATAATTAAAATGTCAAAATAAAATTTCTAACTATTTATTTACATCACACGTATACAATATTATTCACTTTAAATATTTTACTCTGTTCAATTGTACCATGTGTGTGACCCATCTAGGTATTCATAATGTTGGAAATAATATTAATTCACAACTAACATTATAAACGATAAGCGGTATCGAGCAACACATTATCGTTATCCAAGTTATAGACATGCTTCCAACAACACATCACATTTGTATAACTCTTATCCCTTTATTTCTAACATTTTGATCTAACACAAGGTATGGGAAGTAGGGGTGAGCGTCGTACGGTATGGTATGGTATTTAGTCTGTACCGATACCATACCAAATATATCGGTTTGGTATGGGATTTAACATCGTACCGATCCCGATCCCAAATTATCGGTTCGGTATGGTTCATGATGGTTCGATTTCGGTTTCGGTAAATATTGGGACAAATATATATACGTACCTAGTTTATACTTTGGAATGTACAAAACTTTTTATTTTAAGAAAATCAAAAGTGCATTCAAATAAAAGAAATATAAAAAATTGGAAAATGAATAATTAAATGAAAAAATACTTATAAAAGTTATACTTCATATTTCAAAAACAAAAGAGAATGAATGATAACAAAAGAATATTTCAAATATTTGTTAAATTTTTTTATATAAATCTACAAAAAATAAAATTGAAATAAATGATTATATAAATAAAATATTATTTGTAATTCATCTAAACTTGAACCAACTGTTCAAAATAAATTTATTTTTGAATGAAGAAATATAAAAACATTGTTACTTTTATAACGTATTTGTATATATGTTTAATTCGGGATTTTTTGGTATGAGAAGTTATCTTATACCGGGCCCAAATATCGGACCAACCATTCGATTCAGTACGGTAGAATTCTTTTTCGGTATTTTATCGGTTCGGTATTTTTCGGTTCAGTAGTCTCGTTTTTTTCGAGAAATTTCGGTATCGGTTCGGTACGTGCTCACCCCTAATGGGAAGTGTCGCCTCGTTATAGTTAAATCATTGGTTTACTGATTCTCAGATTGACTTGTGGGATTCAAATTACAGTAATATCACATATATTTATTTATCTGGGTATGACAATACACTTTCCAATTAACATCAATCAATGGGCCCGAAGACATTACACTTCATCACAATGGAAGGGATAAATTCTTCCTACGTCATTCACGCATTCAAAAATGCTTAACTACATACCTAAAACATAACTGTACGTCCATTAGCATTTCAGATGGCATTAGTCATGAATCAAAGCATGTAGGTCATCATATTAAAGATCGTAATGAACTCAAGTCTATGGATAGTTATGCCAATGATTGAATGAAAATACTACTAACACATTAAAACAATACCCATGTAGTATTCCCATGGTGGGTCAGTCCAGTACCATATCCGAGAAATGCATGTACGTATAGATTGAGATGTCACAATATCCATAGCCTATGAGATGCTGCTATCTTGTCTCATACGTGTCTGCCTTAGTATATTATGACATACTTATTATCATAATATTTGAATAAGGATATTTTAGACATAGCCTCTATTAATGTATTAATCTCATCATAATCAGAATATTATAGTTCTAATCTATGCTACCATGCACTAAGTCTCTGGACTAAAGCCATGTTTAGATACACGAGATGTATAAACAATCTTTAGAGCCTTTTGTTCTTGATAATTATTCAAACACTTACTCATAAATTAGCCTCTAGGGCTCACATATCAAACAATATCCCAGTAGCACTAAGGCCAATTGTGAATTTCTCAAATGCCCATGAAAAAAGTGTAACCCTCGTTCTTAGGCATTCCCAAAGCCTTGGTCAGTGGAAGTGTTAGATTGTCATCCGTACCTATTTAGAAATTTATTGCATACTCGTTAATTGTGTAAACGTTCTAACGATATGTGTGGTATTCCCGGTGAGATCGTGATTCATTCGCTAGTGAGACAATCCCGTTAAAATCATTCTACAATGATGTTGTATTCAAAACTACTATGAATCATATCAAGTTCTACAATCAAAATCTAGGTCAAAACACTATACTCAACAGCTTCAAACGCTTCCATGTAATTTACCTTTGTGGCTTGAAAACTTGAAGGTGACTTGCAACTCTTCAAGCTCAAGGATCTATCAATATAATAATTTACACAACCCTCTTAATTAACATCGCTGATCCCTTGGGAGCTAGCTTCAGTGTAATCTTGTACTGTAAGATCCTCTTCCACATCCTATATCTCAAAGATATACTTTTTTCTCCGTAAGAACTCAATGATGTTCTTCAATTCCATCCAGTGTGTGTAGTACATATCATTATATATGATTTATCTAATAGTTATCGAATAGTTAGTCTATATGGAACATTTCTAGGTGTTTTCTTAAGTATTCGAAAGACTTTTCTTTTGGACCTTTAACACAGTTCCTCATAGTAATACTAAACTTATTGAGAATTTTGTATACACATATGTACTTCGGCTTAACGTTAACAACCTATTAAAGCTATCTCTATAGATTCAACTGCCATGAGCATGGTAATTATCTTCCGTGTTCTCGATGGATAAATTCTTACTCATCCAAGTGTAAGTATGAATGTCATTCTCCATGAGTAGTACTCTCATTAATATTCAACGCAAAGAAGATTTCAGTTCTCCCACTAATCTTCTGTAAGATTTATCTTTTACTCACTGAGCCCATAACAAATTATGGTTAAATTTACATTTCATCTCCACGAAGATTGCCTTAATCAATAGTTATATCACAATATATCTTAGCATTTGAGCTTGTCTCATGTCCAGGGACGTTCTTACATAAGCTATTATGTTTGAGTCCTAAAGTAAGACACAGTTAGGCGTAAGCACATTCATAACTAGTATGTTGTTCTTTCCACGAGTGTTGATCAAGATTATTGTTCCTTTTAATCACATCAAAGTATATTAATGATTCCAAAGATTTATTTCAACTTCATTCAAAAACATTTCAAATAATTTGAAGGCTCTTGATATGTTCTTCCCAAGAAACATATGTCATGTTTACTCGAGTTATTAGTAAACATAATGAAGTATGACTATCTAACGTTTGCTATTTTGTAAAGGGCCATATACATCGATATGTATATCTTTCAACTAAAGAAAATCACATTTACCACTTTGATTCAAAATCACATGATCCCAATATCACCGACCGATCTTGATATGAGAATGTTTTACTCGTTTACTTGGCCTACACAATCAGGCTAATGTCAAACATAATCTAAACAGTTTTGTTTGGATCCTTTGGTAAAACTATTACACATGCAGGTACACTTTCACAATAAAGTATGTAGACCATTTGACCATTTTAGCATGAGACATATTATTTCTAAAAATGGATCAACATTTTGCTCTTTATTTGAAATAATAATGCAACAATCAAAACATGATATATTGTAATCTCTTGCTAAAACTAAAACAAACCAATTGTAAATTCACTAATTGAAAACAGATCAAATGACAAAAACTAAAACATGATATTAGAACTAAAACACTTGCGCTCATTGATCAACAAGTGTTCAATTGCGTTCATATATTTGCATTTGTAAGTATCATATACCTACAAAGGGTTGTACATGTTTTATGCTCGAAGCGGAGGTGTCACCCTCATTCTTTGTTCTCAGAAGCTAGGTAGTCTTTGCAGTTCCTCCTCTAGTGGTTTTGCTTGCCACAATGATGACATATGGAGTCTTTCCCTATCCACCTTTTGGCTTAAGGTTAGAAAAAGTGGATTCAGGCTTGGTATTAGCCTTGCCTTTTGTTCCCATATTCCTTAAATTTCTTCTGCTTTCCGCCTTAAACAAGATGGAACTACCTTTTCCCTTAGTAAGGCTCTCTTCAGCAGTTTGTAACATCTTTAAGAAGTCGTGCAAGGGTTTATCAAGCTCATGCGTCTCATAATTAACAACAAATTAAACTACTTATATAATTCTAGCAACAATTGCAGGATAAGATCCGTTACAACAAACTACTTATATAATTCACATATAAACAGTTAAGCAAACACCGGGCGAACCGCGCTCACCCCAGACCTAGTTTATACTAAAATAAACTACAAGTCTAAAACAAATACTTAAACTATCAAATAATTTAATTAAAAATATTTTAAAACTCCAAATTATTCAAACTCCATAATTTAAAAAAAATATTACCGTAAATATATGTATTCATTTCAAAATAGGAATTTTAATTCGAAATATATACTTATACTTTTCGAAAAATAATAGAAAAAATTCAGTGTGCATTTTTTTTTATTTTATTAGTCTGAAAATCAAATTTATATATTTTATACAATATTATTTTTTAATTTATATATTAAATGGCATAGACACCAAAAATAATTTCCAGAATTAATATTTTATATTCTTAATCTTCCAACTATAAATATTTTTGAAACAATAAATATTTTGTAACATACCAAATCTCAAAACCAAATTTCCATATTTTATAACATCTTATTTCAAAGTTATAAAATTTAATTACGTAGCAAAAAGAATTAATTTCCAAAATTAATTCTGGATATTTTGAATATTCCAAAAATCCATATTTTTAAAAAATATAGATTTTGTTTCCTGCTAGAACTTGGAAATCAAACTTCCAAATTTGATTAATTTTATTTTAAAAAATTTCATATTTATCTTGGTAGGAAGTAAATTAATTTCCAAAATTCATTTTGAATATTTCAAATATTCCCAAAATAAATATTTTCCACAAAATAGATTTTTTTGCCTACTATACCATGGTAACCAAACATCCATTTTGATGTATTTAATTTTCTAAAATATATCAATTATTAAGTAAGGAAACTGAAAAGAGTTTTTTTTAAAATTATTTTTGTAAATCCAAAATTTCCGAAAAAAAAATATGTTTTCCAATATAATAATTTTCTAGAAAACAAAATATTAGTTTTATATTTAATAAATAATTAAAACGATAATAGCAAAATTACCAAAATTAAATTATTAATAAACACAAAATAATTATTTTAATTTCAAGATATATTCTCAAATAATTTTATACAATCTGAAAATCATATTAACATATTTGTAAAATTATATTTTCAGACCTAAAAGTTTATTTCTAATGAATCAATATTAATTAAGAATTAGGTCTAGTTAAATCCAAAAAACATAAAATAAAAATACAAAAATTTATTTTATTTTCCTAGAATACTTAAATTCATATTTTTACATCCAAGAATAATTAAAATTGTTTTTCCATATTTATCTTGTGATTAATCAAATTAACTACAAAATCAAATCAATACTCAAAATATAGCAATTTAATTTCAAAAATTTAGTTTTGTGTTTCCAGAATGCTTAAAATCATATTTTAACATTCAAGAATCATTAAAAATATTTTTCTAATCTTCTATTAATGCTTGTAGAACTTTCTTTTCATTCTACTTGGTGTTTTGCCCATGCTATACTGTGTACCCTATCATATTTTTTGTGCAGGTTGAACCGGGGGTCTCTTGGAAACAGCCTCCCTGCTTTCGAGTAGGGGCAAGGTCTGCGTACACACACCCTCCCCAGACCCTACTGTAGTGGGATCCAACTGGGTTGTTGTTGTTGTTGTTCTAATTTATTAAGTATCTATTTTGTATTTTTACCAATCAAAGTACAAAACTACATTTAATAGAATAAATAGAAAAGTATTCCACAATCAATTCTAAAAATCATATTTTAGAATTATATAAAGTCTAGAATCATATTTTGACACTTCACAATTTTTTGGATATTTTATATAGTTCATACATATCTGGTTCTAATTTATCAATTAAGGAACACCCTAACGGTTACAGATCTACAAAATTTATGATTTCGTAAGCCGACTCTAATACCACTATTGGGTAACGCTGCTTAGATAATGCAGCGGTAATAAAAAATTTTATATCGAAATGCTATTACCACCCATGATCCTCCTAAAAATACTATAAATTATTGTAAAGAAGAATACCTTTCTCGTAGAAAACAGATCAGACGTGCTCACCCTAATGGAAAGTGTCACCTCGTTATAGTTAAATCATTGGTTTACTGATTCTCAGATTGCCTTGTGGGATTCCGATAACATTAACGGCCTTATACTTGCCAAGTTACTTCAATCAGTGGGCCCGAAGACATTACACTTCATCACAATGGAAGGGACAAATTCTTTCTACGTCATTCACGCCTTCACATATGCTTAACTACATACCCAAAACATAACGGCACGTCTTCCAGTACTTCAGATGACTTTAGTCACGAATCAAAGCATGTAGGTCATCGTATTAAGGATCGTAAAGACCTCAAGTCTAAGGATAGTTATACCAATGGTCGAATGAGAATACTACTAGCATATTAAAATAATACCCATGTAGTATTCTCATGGTGAGTCAGTCTAGTACCATATCTGGAATATATACCTACGTATAGATTGAGATATCACAATATTTAGGGCCTTTTATTCTTGATAAATATTTAGACACTTATTCGTAGATTGGCCTCTAGGGCTCACATATCCAACACAGCTTTCATTGTATCTATTTATCTACGCTTTCTAGAGAGTTCATATTGTAAGAGAGAGTTTTGAGAAGATAATTTATTCTCATTGAGTGTTGGGTTTGCTAAAAACCCGTAATCTTAGAGGTTGAAGTCTTGGGCGAGGAGTCCAAGCGGTTGAAGTCTTGGAGTGTGGTATCTCTGAGCAAGTATTTTGAGGCTCGTGTGATTGAAGTTCTCAAGTTGTACCAATTTTTTAAGCACTCGTAAGCTTAATGCAAGTAGTGTAGCTTGAGAGAGTCGCTCACGAGATTGGACGTACCCACAAGTTGTGGTGAACGAGTGTACATCAGTGTGTTCTTTCTGTACGTTTTTTTTATTCCATTTTTTACTCTATCCCCGCAATTTTTATTCTACGAAAATTTATCAATATTCTCGAGCCTCGCCATTCACCCCCTCAAGTGAAGGGCACTTTTTCTAACTAAGAGAGTGGGACCGGTAGCATACCGATTAGATTTACCCACCCATCTCATGTGTTTCCCAAGGGAGTTGTCTCCCCCGTAGAATAAAAAAAGAGTGTTCTTGTTGGGAGCAAGTTTGAGGGTAGGGAAAGAGAGACTCATTAAAGATGACATGATGTAAGATAATAATTTTGTTAGTGGTGAGATCTATATAGGGTTAACCTCGTTTGTTGGGAGCTATGGCGTAGATATTGGTATAGCAAAGACAATGAAATACTCGAAGGTGAATGTATAAGGTAGGGATATGATATATAGCTTCATGAGGGGTTTTATTGTATAAAGTGGATGTCGGAAGGAGATTAAAAATGTGGGTTTTCATATGTAGGACTTAAACTTAGAGAGGTGGAGGGAGGTTTGCTTGAAAGAGTAAGGCGCGTATGGTGTTATTTATTATGCAAATAGTATGCTCAGTCCGACTATTTTGTTGACTAGTGTGTGGGAAAGAGAGGCCGAAGAGTATACCCTTATAGACAAAGGAATCAACAAGAGGGGTGTTTCTATATTCTGTACCATTATCAAATTGAATAACCTTCACTGTGGTGTAAAATTCTAGACAAATGGAGTAGCTTATTTAAGGGAGAACTCCCTGCATAAGAGTAAAATTCTATGAAAATATCAAAAATGAGTCTTAAGTCTTTTAAGACAAAATAGGAGTTTATATTGTCATTGTTACACTGTCACACTATATATAATTGGAACACTATAACTTCCACACTGCCTTTCATTGCCGCCACCCACTAGAGTACCGCTTTCGATCACCGACATTGATTTGTGATCTACCAGCACTTGAGTGATCATATTGTCACCTTACAGTGTCATCACTTTTCCAAGTGGAACAGATCGAGTATCAAATAGTGAATGCAAATTACTCCCAAGTATTCATTCTATTCTTTTTTAGTGCTATTGACTAGATTACAATGTAGTATATGTACATAGTTTTTCTAAACCTAATGATGCACAAAAAGCCAATGCCTCCACCTTAGATTAGGCTTGAATCTGGGTGAACTTCTCCCTGAATCTAGAGAAGTGGACTTTCTACCACTCAAGTCACAGGAGAAGTTTCTTATAAATCTCCCATTTCTTTAGTAACATCTCATAAAAGGTCTTACATTAATATTCATCCATTTAAATTACGTCTTCTTTTTATAAAATACTTTTATGGATTATTTGATAAAATGAGATAGATACTCTAACTATTGTTATACTCCCTCCGTCCTAATGCCTCCACCTTAGATTAGGCTCGAATCTGGGTGAACTTCTCCCTGAATCTAGAGAAGTGGACTTTCTACCACTCAAGTCACAGGAGAAGTTTCTTATAAATCTCCAATTTCTTTAGTAACATCTCATAAAAGGTCTTACAATAATATTCATCCATTTAAATTACGTCTTCTTTTTATAAAATACTTTTATGGATTATTTGATAAAATGAGATAGATACTCTAACTATTGTTATACTCCCTCCGTCCTAATTCAAATTGTTTAATTTGATTTACAGTATTTGATTGAAGTTAAATTCAAGATAATTTAGTTGAGAATTAAGGTGAAATTTAAAAAAAAATATAGTCTTCTTTTTTATCAAATACTTTTATTAACATTTCATAAAATAAGATAGATATTTCATCTATTGTTTTACTCCTGTTCTAATTTAAGTCATTTGTTTCAATTTATGTTATTTGACTAAATGCAATATCATTAATATAATGGAAAAAAGAAAATTTATATTACTCACGTGCGTAAATGCATTATTTTATATTACTCCCAAGTATTTTTTTTCTTTTTTAGTGTTATTGATGACTAGATGACAATGTAGTATTTTTACATATATTTTGCCAAACGAATGACATTCAAAGAGTCAATGCCTCCGCCTCCGATGACCTCAAACTTGGTGAACTTCCTTATTAATTCTGGGGACTCAGTTTCCTACCACTTAAGGGAGAAGATAAGTTCCCAAGTATTCTTTTTCTTCATCCATATAAATCCCCATTTTTTTTTGTAACGTGTCATTGTAACACCCTAATTCGTCCAGGTCTGTAGCCCCTTTCGGACTAAAATATTAACTTGGTAATCGTAAAAATTTAAAATGTTTGAAACTTTTTTATTTATCACAATAATATTTTTTATAACATAAACAATACGGAGTATTCAACAATATTGCGGAAGCGAATTTAAATGTTGTCATATCATAATAAATCATTTCAAGACTTGTCACATCCATCCCGACAATCTCGCCCCATTTGCTGCCAGGATCACATTGTTCTTTCTGTTTAGCAAATAAAACACACTACACGCTCAGCGATAAAGCTGAGTAAGCATATCTAATGCGTCAAACATCCATATAAACTGAATCTAAATTCATAATCAAATCATTTGATATCATGCACGCAATGTTCATTTCAGACATTTACAGTTTTGATATTGTTAAGTTCATATCAACACATTTTATTCAAATCTGATATTATTTCGACAGTGCTCTTATTTCGACGTAATATGTCATTGAAAAAGTTGGCAGAGTTGTACATCCGTGAGATCGTAAGATTACATGGTGTACCTTTATCAATCATTTCTGATCGTGACCCTCAATTCACGTCACAATTTTGGAAGAGTCTACAGAAAGCGCTAGGTACTAAACTCAACTTTAGTACGGCGTTTCACCCGCATTGTTATGATCTGGCCTTAGACTAAGAATAGCTAAAAGCGTTGTTATTATTTGCCCTTAGATTTAGAATAATTTAAGAGCACTGTTGAAATAATATCTGAATTGAATAAAATGTGTTGATATGAACTGAACTATATCAAAACTGTAAATGTCTGAAATGAACATTGCGTGCATGATATCCAATGATTTGATTATGAATTTAGGGGGGTGTATTCAACATAGATTTTAAAGGATTGTCTTAAATTTTTTATTATCAATGGATTCTATACAATCCATTGATTCTTTTAATTTGGTATGGACTTGGAAAGATTTTAATGTATTTCATAATCAAGATTTGGGTAGATTCTAAAAAATCTATATATTGTTGAATTGTTCTATGAATCAATTGGCCTACGTCTCTTGGCCTTCCAATACCTTCCTCTGGTGCCTTACAAGGTAATGGAAAAATGCAAGTCTGAAACAAGAAAGTCATGGTAACAAGTAGCGACTAGCAGCAACTAGGGATTGACTTTGGGAAAAAAATAAAATAAAAACACTTCTTGTAAATTGCAGATGTCTATGGAAAACTAAAAAAAACAAAAAACTACACTTTGTAAAAAATAAACACTTGTGAGTGCTGCAATCAGCGCCGTACGCCCATCCCTTGCCATAACATAAACCCAAAAGCCATGGTAGGAGCCCAACTCCCCAAATCGTACTATCATCACGAATTCACGATCTATGAATCTGACCTCGCCGAAATCAGATGACCTTACCCTAACTGCCGACGACGACCCTGTTCCAGTCGTCTCCTGATTGTTAGTATATAACAATCATTCCTGAGCCACAATCACAAGCTTGAGCTTTTGGTTGAGTTAGTTCCTTGATATGGTATCAGAGCCTTCGTTCCTTTCTCTCCCTCGTTCAACCTAGTGCAGCTGCCAACCCTAGCAGCGCCTCCCCCCTCTCTCACGGCCGAACTCAGCAGCCAGCATCACCGGCGTCCTCCCAGCAGCACCGCCTCCTCTCCAGCAGGCTCTCTCTCTCTCTCGGCAGTCCATCTCCATCGCTCCACCATGTCTGAGAAAGTCTCCGTCACCGGCACGTCGTCATCCTCGCCGACTCCCCACTTGGCGTTCACAACTATTTCAAACGTCAAGCTACATGTACCGATCCTTCTCAGCTTTTCCGAGCCCAACTACAAGAAGTGGAGCCGGCTCTTTCTCCTTCTCATCCGCCGGTTCTCCCTCGGCGACTTCCTCACCGGAAAGTCGTCCCCGTCAAGCGCCGACGACGCTGAATGGTTTCAACTAGACGCCCTTATTCAAGGGTGGATCTTGTCTACGGTCAATGATGAGATCTGTGATCTCGTCCTCTCCACCACAAATTCCGCCTCCGAATTATGGACATCGATCTACAATCTCTTCCATGACAACAAAGCGGCTCGGGCGATGCAACTCGAGCACCAATTCCGCATAACCACGAAGGGTTCTCTCTCTATGGCCGCCTATTGCCAAACCCTTCGCAACCTCGCGGATTGGTTGGATGATGTGGATGCCTCAGTTTCTGAACAACAACTTGTTCTCCAAGTTCTCCGTGGCCTCTCGGACGACCTTCGGGCCCAAACTTCGTTCCTACAATATCAAACACCGCCCCCGACCTTTCTTCAAACCTGCTCGGCCCTTCTCCTCATTGAACAACAGCGGCAAGAATTGGGGACCGGCGGCGTCGCGGGGGGAAGGTGGCACGGCACTGTACACCGACAGTGGGGGTCCCGGCAGTGGCGCCTCACGGCGCTTTGGCAGCACCAGTGGAGGCCGAGCAGATTCCAGCGGCGGAGGTGGTCCTGAACAGCCGCATCACAACCGACAACGTGGTGGACAGCAGCGAGGTCGGGGGCGCGGCCGAAGCTCCGGGTCAAATGCACGACACACCCACGGGCAGCTTACTGGACAGTTCACCAACCCGTACCCAAACCCGGGCCTTCTTGGTCCTCGCCCCAACCCTTACCCGCACAATCCCTACCCCTAAGCCTATCTCACTACCCCCTACCCGTATGCTAGTGCACCCCACGACCAAAACACCCCCTATAACAGCCCCTACCCGACAGCCCCACCCTACCCGCCAACCNCACCATCCCCACTACCCACCCCTTGGTAACCTGGTCCAAAGTCGGCATATCCAAACCCAAACACATCCTTAACCTTAACTCCATGGCCCAAATATCCCCACTCCCACCCACCTACCGTAGGGCACTCAAGGACCAAAACTGGTACAATGCTATGTGTGATGAATTTAATGCTTTGATTAAAAATGAAACATGGGAATTAGTACCCCCCCTCCCCTTCCCAAAATATTATCACCGGTAAGTTGCTTTTTCGCCACAAATTTGGCCCTACAGGTGAACTGTCCAGGTACAAAGCTCGTTGGGTGGTTCGTGGATTTAATCAGCGCTTTGGAATCGACTACGACGAGACTTTCAGTCCGGTTGTCAAACCTGCCACGGTACGTATTGTTCTCACTCTTGCACTCAGCCGGGGATGGTCCATTCATCAGCTAGATGTCAAGAACGCTTTCCTGAATGGCACACTTCACGAGACAGTCTATGCGAGCCAGCCCTCTGGTTTTCAGGATCCAGCCCGTCCGAATTATGTCTGCAGGTTGAAGAAGGCTCTCTATGGCCTCAAGCAAGCCCCCCCGCTCCTGGTACCAACGATTTGCAGGTTTTATTCTCACTTTGGGGTTCCGTGGCTGCAAGAGCGACACATCTCTCTTTGTCTACTCCCGGGGAGCTGACATGGCCTACCTCCTTCTGTATGTGGACGACATTGTTCTCACGGCCTCCTCCACCGCTCTCCTCACATGCCTGACTCAGCAGCTTAAGGGGAATTTGTCATGACAGATATGGGGGATCTCAATTTCTTTCAGGGCATTAATGTCCAGCGCACTGCTGGGGGACTTTTCCTTCACCAGACACAGTTTGCACACTAGATCCTTGAGCGGGCTGACATGCTTCACTGCAAGCCTATCTCCACCCTGGTTGACACCAAGGCGAAGCTGTTAGCGACGTCCGGCACACCCCTTCTGGATCCCACCATCTACAGATCCATTGTTGGCGCCTTACAGTATCTGACGTTCACCCGCCCTGATCTCACATATGCCGTACAGCAGCTCTGTCTTCATCTCCATGCCCCCCGCAGCTCTCATCTCACGGCTATGAAAAGGGTCCTGCGCTACATCCACGGCACGGCCACCCATGGCATCACTATCCACCACACCAGCACAGATTCCTTACAGGCATATTCGGATGCGGATTGGGCAGGATGCCCTGACACTCGCCGCTCCACATCTGGGTATTGTGTCTTCCTTGGGGACAATCTCATCTCTTGGTCCTCCAAGAGACAGGCCACCACTTCTCGCTCCAGTGCTGAGGCAGAATACCGCGCCGTGGCAAATGCAGTAGCAGAGACTAGCTGGGTCAGAAATCTTCTTCTTGAGCTTCATCAACCTCTCCGACGTGCTACACTGGTCTTCTGTGACAATGTCAGTGCTGTATACCTTTTGTCTAATCCAGTCCAGCATCAGCGCACCAAACATGTTGAGGTCGACATTCACTTTGTCAGAGACAAAGTTGCCCTTGGTCATGTTCGAGTTCTGCATGTTCCCTCCTCTTCTCAGTATGCTGATATCTTCACCAAAGGGCTCCCGTCTCTCATATTTTCCGAGTTCAGACACAGTCTCGGCGTTCGACCGTCACCAGTCACGTAGTTGGGCACATGTTAAATATAGTATGTATATATTTAATATTAATGTTGTAATCATGCTTAATATGGTAGTTGCCTTGTTTAGGATTCCTTCCATAGTTAGGATTCCTTTGTACTATTTATACGAGGCTTAGTCCTCCGTCATCATCGATCGAATTTATTCATTCTTGACATGGTATCGGAGCCTCGTTGACTGAGAAGTCACGGGTTTCGAAACTCAGCGCCACCCAATTTAAAAAAATTAAGGTTTCACGTGCAAGGCTTGAGAAAAAGACTACGCCTGCACGTGAGGGGGCGTGTTAGAATATAAATAACTGTTTCTGGGCCATAAACACAAGCTTGAGCTTTTGGTTGAGTTGGTTCCTTGACACTGATCTCCCTCGACCGACTTTCATCGGAACGAATACATCAAAATCTTTAGAATTATGATGAGATTTCAACCAAGCTTCTTATATATATTAAGCACCCAAAAATCCGTCAGAATCCGTACTCCATGAAATTCTTCGAAAATCGATCACTTTTTCAATACCTTTAGATTTAAAAGGATTGTATAAAATCTAAATTGAATACAACAAGATTTTAAATGATTTTTTTAAATCCGGATTGAATACACATGGATTTTTAAAATCCAAAATAATCCTATATTATCCCAATTGAATACACCCCTCTTAGATTCAGTTTATATGGATGTTCGACGCATTAGATATGCTTACTCAACTTTACCGCTGAGCGTGCAGTGTGTTTTATTTGCTACATGCAGGTAAACAGAAAGAATAATGTGATCCTGGTAGCAGATGGGGCGAGATTGTCGGGATGGATGTGACAAGTCTTGAAATGATTTATTATGATATGACAACATTTAAATTCGCTTCCGCAATATTGTTGAATACTCTGTACTGTTTATGTTATGAAAAATATTATCCTTTATATATATAAAGCAGAGTCGGAGCTATAAGAACGTGACATTTGGCAGAGCTAAAGCGTGACATGTGGCGACATTTGGCAAAGTTAAAGCGCGACATGTGGCGAGCTGATATGTCACCCTTTTAGACAAATCGATCTGTTTGACCGGTTAGACCAGTTCTTTTTTTGCAATTTTTTTCCAAAAGCATACCACCATGGGGTTTGAAACAAGGATCTCTTGGTCATTTAGTTGAGTTCCTAACCATCCAAGCTAGGGTGTTTTTTGTTACAATCTCACTTAAGCTTTTATAATGTTTCATAATTAAAAAAAGATTGTATAAAAATTTCTTTTTAGTTATAAAAAATATAATCCTTTAATATAATATTTGAGACTCCATTTGCTAGAAAGTCGCCAAAAGACAAGCTTATGTGGGCTATATTAAGGTGAGATGGCAAGTCTTTATTGGTTGCTTATGTGGCAAATTTTATTAATGATGAATTGACCTTTCTTTTTATTTTAAATTAGAAATTTAATAATGATTTCAAATTTTGGAAAAATTTTACGTTAAAAGATTTAGTACAAATAAAGAATTCATTACTTCGTGACATTAGTTGAGTATTTATATTTTTTATTTTTAAAAAGCAATTCATCTATTTATTTGTTATGATGTGATAAAATTAATTATGTTATAAAATCAAATTTGTGAAAGATAAATGTAGTATTGTCCGAAATAAAATTTTTAAAGGAAAACAATTATATAAAATATA